GTGGCCAGCCAAGGAAGTGCCACCATAAATCACCATCGGGGAAATCTTAAATTCAACCTTGTGCTCCAACCAAGCCTTCCCATTGGAGATCTATCTCTGGAAAATATGATTGGATATTACGCCCCTCCTTTCCCCTCCTCCTTCCCCATTTTTGGTTAGTCACCCTAGGGCTAGGGAAGAAATTTGCCACAAAAACCTTAAATTTCATTCAAATTCAGTATGTCCATGCCAGAAGAGAGAGGGACAATACATTTCAAATAATAAATAACCCGTAGGGCTGATTTTCAGGCAAAGTGGTGCATCTAAATCTTGTCTCCAGAACATCAAAGCCAAAGCAAAACGCTTGTTCCTAGTCCTCAAGATATTACAGGCCGCAATGCTGAAAGTAGCTTGTTATAGTGATAGAAGCTAAGGGACGGAAGCCTCCATGACAAGATCCGGGGAGGATCAGAAATGGGAACAAGGGAAGCCCTCCCACTGCAACCAAAAGCTGGACCAGCTGAGGATGGGAACTGCGGTTGGAGGGGTAAACCATCTTAGCCACATCCGACGTCACTTTTACAGGCCTTCATAAGAACGCGTTGGGAGTCGGCAGCCAGCTCTTCGAGGCACTGTCCCAACATGGAGTAGGTGGTATGAAACGAGATACCGCCAGAGGCCAGGGCTCCGTAAATCGGGAACCGATGGAGGAAAAAGTTGGCCACCATCAGGCCTGTCCCAGTGGCCTTTCCCAGCAAACTGATCACCACATCCTTGTTGATGCTTCGGCCTAGACAGCTGTGTACTTCTTTTCTCAGGACCTCCATGGACTTTCCAGACCGTTCAGCCAGACGGGATAAAGAGGCAGCGTCGAGGCCGAAGTCTTGCCGGTAACTGGACAACTTCTTGAGCAAAATGGTTACATCACAGGTGAAGGCCAGGCCCGGCAAAGGGACAGCAGCTACCAAGCTGGAAATCAAAGCCACCTTCCAGATCTCCCGATGAAGGACCTTCTTCTTCTTCTCGATGATCACCGTGGAGACGTTGGGCAGGGACAAGAGAAAAGCCTGCTGCTTATGAGTGGGCAATTCCTGCTCCAGAGTTTCCTCAAAAGCCTGGAAGTCAAACTTCTCGAGGTAAAAATTGCTGAGAAGGAACACCTTGGCACCGCTCAGCCCAGCCTTGGAAAGCTTGCTCTGGCAATCCTTTCTGATCACCTCCAGAACTTGGGCTTCGGTGGGCGGGTTCTTCTTCCTCCGCTCGGCCTCCAAATCATTGTCGATCTTGGTGCGTATGAAGTAGAACTGCTTTCCCTGTTGGACAATGGCCTGGGCCAAACGGACGTGGTTTTCTTTAAATCGTTCGGAAGCCAGGATGATGAAGAAATCATAACGGGAAAACTCCACCGTCTCTAAGTATTTATCAGCCCGGAAGTTGGGTGTTCCTATACCGGGGAGATCCCAGAGGACCACGTTGGCGTGCCCGGGATAAGGATATGGCGTGGGCTTCATTGTAGTCTCTGTCACGCCCGTCGCGGCCGCCCCTTCCTCTTCATCAGTCATGCCCCTCAAGACGTTAACGAAGGTGGATTTCCCAGCGCCCGATTCTCCGGTGATCGCAATATCCAGCTGGGCATTCCAGATGGTTTCCAAACTGCCCTGGATTCGGGTCACCACTTCAGAGAGGCCCCCGAGTTCGTAGGCTTCCTGGATCTCGGCAATCTCTTTCTCGCTGAACTCTTCGAAGCTGAGGTGCGTGGGCTTCTGCACCCTGTGGAAAGATATGAGGGACAGTCAATGTTATGGATGGAGAACCTGGATTAAAACCCAGTGTTCCATGGAAACTGGGGAAACACAGATGCAAACAAGGAAACATTAAAATATGCATTGAAAAGTCCTGTCGTGCCCTTGTTGGAGTCTGAATCTGAGGGGGAGATTGAGGAACTGACAGGGAGTGGGAGTGTTGCTTCGGTGTCTGTGGAAGAAACGGGGGAAGAGCACAGTCCGGCTGGGCACTCAGAGGAAGACCCAGGGCCACCCCTCTTCATCCTAGGGCACGGAGAAGGGAGCAACATGGCTTATGGGAGAGGAAAAGGCCCTGATCCCTTTCATTAGTTGCAACTGGAAGAACAGGATATAAGTGGGGCATTTTAAACAGCTCTTTGCTGGAAGCAAAGCGTGTTTTATCTTGGTCGAGGCTTATCTGGGTTTTGGTGTCTTCCCAACTGTGGTTGCTGCGTCATCTTGTGGAAGTTTGCAATTTATCATCCTGGCCTGCCATGTTAATAACTCCAGTGTGGTTTGTGTTTATTTTTTTATGTCTAATTATTTTTACTTTTGGTTCAGACTGCATTTACTCTCTTCATAGACTGTTTTTGGAAGAGTTTGATATCAAGTCGAGGATAATTGGACATTGAGGCCCAAGTTGGAGGCATTAAAGGGAATTTATTCTACTTTTGTGACTGTGTTATTTTTGTGTCATGCCCCGGGTCATCATAAGTTCTTTGGAAAATACAGTAGGCTCTCTAAAACAGGAACTATAGATGATTTGGTCTTGTTTAACAGACGGGTAGTCCTCGATTTACAAGTTTGTTTAGTGACCATTCAAGGTTACAACGGCCCTGAAAAAAAGTGACATGATCATTTTTCACACAACCATTGCAGCATCCCCGTGGCCAGGCGATCAGAATTCAGATGTTTGACCATTGACTCATATTTATAACCGTTGCATGATCGCCTTTTGTGACTTTCTGACAAGCAAAGACAATGGGGAAGCAAGATGCACTTAACAGCCGTCAACTGCAGTGATTCACTTAGCAACTGTGGCAAGAAAGGTCACAAAAATGAGGGTAAAACTCACGTAACAATTGTCTGTCTTAGCGGCAGGACTCTGGGGCTGAATTGTAAGTTGAGGGCTACCTCTACTCAAGAAAAAAAATCTAATTCAGAATGATTAACTGTGATATCTAAACAGAAACATCCATGTTGTCCACAATCAGTTTCCCAAATTTGCCCCATGGGCAGGATCAGTGGTGGGATTCAGCCAATTCGGACCAGTTTGGGAGAACCGGTTGTTAAAACTTTCTGAGCCATTTGGTGAACTGGTTGTTGGAAGAAATCATTAGGGCAGAGAACCGGTTGTTAAATTACTTGAATCCCACCACTGGGCAGGATTCTTAATTTATATAAGTCAATAATAGCAATAGCACTTAGACTTATATACGGCTTTATAGTGCTTTTACAGCTCTCTCTAAGCGGTTTATAGAGTCAGCCTCTTGCCCCCAGCAATCGGGCTCCTCATTTGACCCACCTCAGAAGGATGGAAGGCTGAGTCAAACCTTGAGCCTGGTGGGATTTGAACTGCCAAATTGCAGGCAGCTGGCAGTCAGCAGAAGTAGCCTGCAGTACTGCACTCTAACCTCTATGCCATAGAGGCGCCTAATAAGCTAATAGAACTGAATCTCTGCAGCTCAGGGTTGAACAATGGAATCTTTGTGTGTTCTCAGAGTTGGTTATTTGCTTGCAGACATTTCATTATGTTAGGTAACCTCCTCACATGACATCCCAACATTGCAGATCAATCATGTTTACACACCCACATGAAAGAGACAAGAAGAGGCTAAGAAGGAAACAAAAAGTCCAGAACACATCCTCCTTCCCCGGCAACAACACCCAGATAAGCAGGGACTAATTCCAGACAAACAATTAAGTAGAAACCAATAGTTCAATTAAGGAACTACCGAGGAGAAAAACCACGCCCATCAACCCTGGCAGAACAAGTTACAGGTAGTCCTTGACTTATGACAATAATGGAGCCTGCCCATTACAGTTGTAAGTTTCAATCATCTTAAAGGAAGTCATCACATGACCGAACTGATTATATAACCATTTTTGCAGAGGTCATTAAGGGAAGCCATTGTTTACGACCAAACCACAAGTGAACGCCAATTTGGGCAAAAACATAAATCTCAGTCATGTGACCACTGCAAATAGCCATGAATGCAGACTGGTTGCTGAGTGGCTGAAATGCAGTCACATTCACTGTCAGGACTTCAGAACCAGGTCAAAAGTCCCTATTGGGGAGAATCCATTGTAACTTGGAGTGGTCACTAAGCAACCATCGTAAGTCAAAGACTATCTGTACCGTATACAAACAGGGAGCAAACTCCACACTTATTCACACTGTTGACATTAGTTGCATAACGAAATATTTGCAAACAAACAAGTTCAGAGCACCAAGGACACCACACAGCAAGCTAACACAAAAACAAACAACTACCCTGACAACTACAGTAATTGCAATGTTTGTAAACCAGACTCAGCGGTCTTCTGAATGTAGGCACTGGTGTTTCCATCCTCCCTTTCTCGACCTCCAAAATATTAACCTGGGAAAGTGATCCAGGGGGATCAGCTATGGAAAATAGAAGGATGTTAAAGAGTATTAGAGCTTTTGACCAGATCTCAGAAGAGCAATTCCAGGATCTAATCTGGGTTGGTCACCGGAACCAGAGATTTTGTCTTTTGAGCTTTCGGACTTGTGCTGGAGCCCATCTTCAGGGAATTTCTCTCTAGCTAGAACTTCTCTTTTTCGGACTCGTGGGGGGAGAGGAGGAACAGCCAGCAGGGAGTGGAAGTGTGGTTCCGGAGGTTGTGGAGGAGGCTGGGGAAGGGCAGAGGCTGGCTGAGCAGTCGGAGGAGGACCCAGGCCCATCCCCTCTCCATCCTAGGGCACTCAGGGAGGAGAGGATAAGGGAGAGACATGAATGGTGTGGTCTATGGGGGAGGAAAGGGCCTTGAGCCCCTTCATGGGCTGCAGCTGTAAGAACTGGTTAAAAGGACAGACATGCGTATGGGCCAGTGGTGGAAACAAAGCATGGACATATCTCTAGTCTGTCGTTCCTCTCTGAGTTTGGCATCCTTCCCAGTGTGTGTTCCCGATATCTGTGGACGTCTTCAAGCCCTTATCTTGCCTGGTTCCCTCAATTGCTTCAGTGTGGTTTGAGTTGTTTTTACTCTTTATAATTTATAGGCATTTTTAGTTTAAACGGCATTTCCTCCTTCTTGTAACTGCTTGTGGGGGAGTTTTTTGTCTCCAGTCAAGGAGATTTGGAGCTTTGAAGCAAAGTGAAGGAATAAAAGGGGCTTCACCTGTTTTTGTGACTGTGTTTATTTTGTATCCCACCCTGGGCCATCACACCCATCTTCAGGGAACTTCTCTCTAGCTAGAACTTCTCCCTTTCGGACTCTTGGTGGAGCCCATCTTCAGGGAACTTCTCTCTCTACAAAACATGCCATTTTTCTGAAAAAGAGAAGTTCCCTGAGGATGGGCTCCAGCACGAGTCTGAAAGCGAGAAGACAAAAACCTCTGGTCCCTATCACTGACCCAGATTGGATCCTGCAATATTATCCTGGGACACGTACACAGGTCATCCTCAACTTACAACAGTTCATTAAGTGACCGTTCAAAATTACAACACCACCGAAAAAAGTGACTTAGGTCCGTTTTTAAAAGTGACAACTTTTGCAGCATCCCCATGATTATGTGATCAAAATTCAGATGCTGGGCAACTTGATTCATCTTTATGACCGTTGCAGCGTCCCGAGGGGGTCATGTGATCTGCCTTTGCAACTGTCAACTCATAAAACATTCCTATGCCTGTTTTAGTAGTTGCCATAAAAAGGGGGGGGGGGGGGGGAAGGAAATCTGGAAGAGCAGTGCAGCAATTTGAAAGCGAAAGTACATTCCAACTCTTATCTTTAAAAGATTGTAACTAAACTACCAGAACTTTTGGCCACGAATATATTTAATTGGAGAACATGATTGATGACACCCAGCCTGTGAATGTACTCAATTGGAGAATCTGGTTTATGAGAAACCGGGGGGGGGGGGGGGAACAGGGTCACAGGTGACTAAATTATGTATGCCAGAGTTGGCTTCATACAGGGCAGTGCCAGTATGCTGCCTCTAATTAATCCTTTGAAGTTTTTTGAAGTTTGGCTCGAGAATCATGATTTAATTAGGGCGATTGTTGGAATCCTAACAGCGACCTTCTGATAAGCAAAGTCAATGGGAAAGCCAGATTCCCTTAACCACCAAGTTAGTCACCTATCAACTGCAGTGATTCAACTGCGGCAAAGAAAGGTTGTGAAAAGAAGCAAAACCTCACTTAACGAACGTCTCACTTAATGTCGGGCTCAATTGTGGTCGTAAGCCGAGGATTACCTGTGTTCGCCTTCGTTCGAGAGCAACTCCACTTTTTTTGCTGGCCAGCTGTCATACCAACCTTTCATACTGGTGCAGGTCCTTCAGCAAATCTTCCCGCAGCCGGGGGCAATCAAGGGCGCCAGGCTCAAAAGCAGAGATCAGGTATACAAAGGGATCCACGAGAGGGAGGGTCCCCAGAGATTCGGTACACGCCTCCCGGAGGGCCCGGAGGACTTCCGACCGATTGTAACGTTGCCCCATCAACCGCTTGAGAGTGTGAAGGTCCAGATCAGCCTTGGTCCGGGCAAAATAGACCTTTTTGCCAGCTTGCCGGGCCTCCAACACAAGGCGGCCATGAGAATCCTCAAACTTGTTGTCGGTCACCAACACAATCAGTTCGGCCTCCCTCATCCATTGATCCGCGTGGCCCTTGCCCTCCATCGACCGCTCCCACAGCAGTAGATTATTGTAAGTTGGGTCAGGGTACAGGATGGGCTTTTCCGATTTCACTGCAGTCCCCACGGGGGCTGATCCGACATCATCTTCGGTCATCTCTCGTACGGCGTTAAGAAGAGCCGATTTCCCAACGTCGGATTTCCCCACGAAGATGATAGAAACGTCCCCGCAATCGGGGGAACCCAGAGCAGAACCTGGAGGGGTCTTCACGGACATGTTTGGTGTTGACAGAGAGAGTAAATTTTCTTCTCAGAAGGTGGCAAACCTTTAAAGAAAGAAAGACAAAGGTCGAAGAAGGAGAAATGTCTCTTTTTAGGCTAAAATCGAAACCTAAGTTTGGCTATAAATATTTTAAGCAGCACTCGGTCGCAAGTATCAATGATCACATCCAGCACAATTGGCGACAGGCCAAGCGTATAATAATAATTTTGTTTAATTTCACTGCGTGCCCATAAAAATCGGGATGGGTACATGTTCACCTCCCTTACAGGAAAGTGCTTATTGTTCTCATTTTGTTGTTCAAGCTTTTTCTGTTTTTCATTGCTCAACAAGACCAACAAATCACATGACGATGTTTCCAAATCGCGCCATGATGCAAGCAGGAGTGGGAGATCTGGAAGGTGGTTTTCCTATCAGAGGCAGCACTACAGTTTCCTGGTTTGTAGCCTGGTGTTTTAACAAGCTAGACCAGGTTGTTGTTTTTCCTGGTTTGCATGCTAGATGGGGAATTACGTCAGGAGTCTCCAACCTTGGCAACTTTAAGCCTGGAGGACTTCAATTCCCACAATTCCCCAGCAAGTCTGGCGGACTTCAACTCCCAGAATTCCCCAGCCAGCTTTGCTGTCCAGGTTCTCAGGGCTCAGCAATCTGGGGCTTGCAGAAAGACGCCTCGCAGCAGCTCCGGTTTGGGGTAGCCCGAAACGAGGGGCCAAGCCGGGCAGGGAAAGGGGGCCCGTTTGCATGATCCGGCCGTTGCAAAACAAACCAAACGAACACACCGCCCTTCCTTCCTTCCTCCCCCACCTACTTGCGGGTCGGTGGTCCAGCGCAGGGCAGGCCGGATTCCCCGGGGCAGAGGAGCGTCCGGCGACCCTTCCCCTTTCGCTCGGTCCCCGGGGTGGGGGTGGGGTGGGGTGGGGGGTCTCCTCCGGCCGCTCTCGCTTCTCGGCTCGCCTCTCCCGGGCTCCGTTTGTCCTCCTCCCCGGCGCGTCAGAAGAAGGGGCGGTTTTGCGGCGCCGCGGTGCGAGCAGAGAACCGGGGCTGATGCGGGGAGAGGGGGGGAAAGTGAAAGTGCAGAAACGGCTTCTGGATCGCGCGCACCGTCTGCTGGAGCAAGAGAAGAAGTGGGGAGGGGGACCCTCAGCCCGCGGGGAGGAGGGGGAAGCAGGACTGCCCAGACGCGGCGTTGTTGGCCGCGGATCTTCTTCTTCGCCACCCCCCCATCCGCCTAAGACGGAGGCGAAGCGGCTCCTGGAGCCCTTTTGGAGGACAGGTGAGCGGCTCTTTCCCGCGCCAATCCGGGGATGTGGAGAAAGGGGAGGGGGGCTGCAGGTGTGGCGGGGGTCACCTGGAAAGGTGGAGGGGTGTGTGAAATCCAGGAAGGCAGCTTCGGTGGCCTAGAGGCGGAACTTCCTCCTCACAATCGGGAGGCTGTGAGTTCAATCCTAGGTAGAGGCTAATATTCGGAATAGACTCGAGTAGTGGGTTGGACTAGATGACCTCCAATATCCCCTCCAACTCTGTTATTGTATGACCTCTTCCCTCCCCGCAAAACGGGCAGGAAGAACTAAACTGTTTATTCCCCCCCCGCCCCCCCAAAAAAATATCTTTCCTCATGGTCGCCCGAAATATGGCAAGCCCTCAAGGCGCGGTCAGTATGCGGTAGCTTTCGATTCCTCCCCGTCATGGGCTGAACCGGGAAGGGAAGGAAGGAGCGGAGGGTGGTTGGGAGCACCGGGCAAGAGACAGAGCAGGGCCTGGGAGAACTTCTAAGCTGCGCCTCCTGGGGGAGGGGGTCCCTCTCCCCCTCCCCAGTCTCCACCCCATTGCCCGGTGGCTTTTGATGGGGGTGAGTTGCCGGGTGAGTTGTCTCCAACTTGAAAGCCAGCGGGGAACAGGCAGAAATTCAAAAAAATAGGGATTTTTCCTCTGTTTGTCAAGCATGATGCTTGTGGTCCCGGAAGGCCTGCGCAGGGCGATGTTAGTCGTGGGAAAGCAGAGATGTGGCTGGAGCATGATTGTATCTTGGCAACTTTGATGATGGGTGGACTTCAACTCCCAGAATTCTGGCTATGGGAGTTGAAGTCCACAAGTCTTAAAACAGCCGAAGTTGAGAAACACCTGTGATACATGGCTGCAGGTGGTTGTGTGAAGCCTGGATTCCCACCAGGTGGTTCCTGCCTGGGCCACACTCACCTCCTCTCTTCTCTTCCTGCAGCTCAGCCATGGCCAGCTTTCCCTATTTCAACGAAGCACAGCTGAAGAGCCGCAAGGTTCAATATCTGGCCCAGAACTCCGTCGCAGCTGCCTCTCAAATCCAGGAACTGCTGGATTTCTTGAACTCCTTCAAGGTCCAGGTTGGGATCCTGGGAGAGCACCGCGCAGGGGTGACCATGCTGGTTGAGGCTCTCCTGAGCAAGCCCAGCCCAGTGACCAACCTTTTTGCTTACTTCCGGGAAGCTCAACAGCCCACACTCTCTGCAGAGGTCCACGTCCATCCCACCTTCCCTCACCTCGTCTTGCACGATCTACCTGGCTTTGAGGCCACCGAGAAACCAGCTGCCTATCTCAAGAAGCTGGGGGACCTAGAGCAATTTAGCTGCTTTGTGATGGTGGTGGGAACCAGGGGCTTCACAGACGTCCATCTGCAAGTCCTTAAGGCAATCAAGCAAAGGAAGAAAGTTTTCTTCGTGGTTCGCACCAAGATCGACCTGGATCTGCACACAGCTAGAAGGCGCCTTCGATACAGACACAATCCTGCAGAGCAGATGAACCAGATCCGGAAGGAGTTGTCCGAGACATTGACCAAGGATGGGTTGGAGGCCAAGAAGCTCTTTCTAGTGTCTGGGCTGCAGACGGAGAGATATGATTTTGCTTGGTTCGAGGATAGTTTGGAAGGAGAAGTGCTCAACTTGAAAAGGTTAAAAAAAAGGGGGTCAAGGGGGACAGGGGGTTTCTGACTTTAGATCAGAACATTTTTTTTCTTTTCTTCCAGGGCTGGAAAAGAAGAGGTGTCCATCTCTTGCATCTCCGTACAATGCCATTCCATCCTTTTACATTAGCCTGTCGAGCTAATGTCCTTTTTTTCCTTAGTTGTTTTCTATATGGAACTCAAATAAACGTGCTAAAACAGAAGATTATCAAGGAAAGTAGGAAAAGAAACCTCCTATAATTTAGCTGTCATGCCCCTGTTGGAGACTGACTCCGAGGGAGAAGGAGGAACAGCCAGCAGGGAGTGGAAGTGTGGCTCCGGAGGTTGTAGAGGAGGCTGGGGAAGGGCAGAGGCCGGCTGGGCAGTCAGAGGAGGACCCAGGCCCATCCCCTATCCATCCTAGGTCACGCAGGAGAGGATAAGGGAAAGACGTGGTCTACTTGGGAGGAGAGGGCCTTGATCCTCCAGCTGTGACAACCGATAAAAAAATGTATAAAAATAATGTTAACATTAAAAATTACTGTATATACTCGAGTATAAGCCTAGTTTTTCAGCCCATTTTTTGTGCTGAAAAAATCCCCCTCGGCTTATACTCGAGTCAGATTCCCCTCTGAAAAAAAAAATGGTGTGGAGTCGCGGCCTCCGGTGGCAGCGACTCCCAACAGCCCCAGCCGGGAAGGGAAAGGCAAAAAGCGCTTTGCCTTTCCCTTCCCGAGGCGGTGGGACTGGGGCCGCGCCGGCGGTAGTGACTCCTGACTCAGGGGGCCTCCGAGGGAGGGGAAGAGAGTGACTCCTGCCTCCCGCTGTCATCATCATCTTCTTCTTTTGAGTTAGTGAATCAATTAAACCTTTCATGATAGTGAGATCGTTTCCCAAATTAATTATTTTTATTTTTGAAATTTACCAGTAGCTGCTGCATTTCCCACCCTCGGCTTATACTCGAGTCAATAAGTTTTCCCAGTTTTTTTGTGTAAAATTAGGTGACTCGGCTTATATTCGGGTCGACTTATACTCGAGTATATACGGTAAATGAGGGTTTAAAAAAATTAAAGAATGACAAACATCAAAAGCGGAGAAAAGTCCTATGATAGCATGGACATTATTATTGGACGTGCCCAGTGTAGTCTCCAAGAAAGACAGTGTTGAGTCCTTAATGTATCCTGGCCGTCTTCTCACTGTCCTTTTTAAGTGCAACTAAGACAATGTCTTGTGTTTACAGTATATTTCTGCTCTTGGTTCTTTGTAGGCACCAAGAGGGAACTCTGAAGGACTTCTGTGCGGTGAGTCAAAAGATGGTCAAGGAGCTATTTGACATTTGCAAGTTCGACAGCTTGGCTGAAGTCCCAACAGTAATCCAGCGTATGCTGACCGATCCCGCTCAAATCCACCTGAATGTAGCTCTGATTGGGGAAACAGGCTCAGGAAACTCCTCCCTGATCAATGCGCTGAGAAGAGTAGGCCCTGAAGAGCCAGGGGCAGCCCCCACTGGAGTAGCGGAAACAACCAGGAGAGCCACAGCCTACCCGTTCCCATCCGTCCCTAACATGTTCCTGTGGGATTTACCGGGAGTGGGAACGAGGGAGGATGATGTGAAGCGCCTGGATCTCAGCCGCTACAGCATCTTTCTCTTGGTGGCCTCGGAGCGCTACAAGCACATCCACAGCTGTCTGGCCAAAATTATTGCTTCGGAAGGGAAACAGTCTTTCTTTGTGAGGAACAAGATAGACGTAGACATGGAAGCCCAAGGTGGAAACCAACCCGAGTTGAAGGAGAAACTTCAGGAACAGATCCGGAAGAGATGTGTGGAAGCTCTGAAGAATGATGGCGTTGACTGTCCAGTCTTCTTGGTCTCCTCCTTCATCGCTGAAGCCTACGACCTCCCTCTCCTTCGGGAAGAACTCCAGAAACAGGCTTCTGAGTGGAAGAGGAAGGCATTGAGGAAAGTGATCCCGACCGTCTTCTCCCAGCTGGTCAGGCTCAAGAGCAAAGTGCTGATGAAGGACGTGTGGGGGAAGACCTTGCAAGTTGGCCTCTCCTCTGTGGACGATCTCAAGGAGACTGTGGTCGAAAACCTCCTGGCCATCATCACCAGCTTCTGCATCCACCTTGGTCTGAATGAAACGTCTATCGTGAACACAGCCCAGTGTACTGGCAAAGCAGTCCACCTGCTTCAGGAACAGATCCAAAGCCGCTTTGCCCGGCCAATGCACTCCACCGAGGTGCTCAACCTCATAGTTAAGTCTCCCTCATGGAACAGCTGGGCGTGGAACTATGTGCCATACTGGGGCCAAAGAAGCAATGTGGAGGCCACCATCTCAGTGGAGAAAGTTTACAACCTGCTCAAAGAAGCTGTAGTGGAACTGTCCGAAGACGCAGAGAGGCTGCTGCTGGCAGCCTTCTCGGAGGATTAGAGGAGGAAGAGGGATAGATTGATTTTGGGATGTGGGGAGAGGAAGGGCCAACCACCTTTGTCGCTCTTTAAAAACAGCGGAGAGAAAAGTAACGGGAGCGTCCCTGCGATAGGACACACTGAGGCAAGAGCAAAGATTGCTTGGCATAGTGTCCGGTGGCGGCGGCGATGATGGTGATTTTCGGAAGGGCCCAGCAAGATTTGGCTATAGAAACTTAAGAAATGGAAAGCCAATGCTAAGCCTTTACCCCTTTTCAGTGCTCATACACACTTACATTGTAGTGTCTCTCAGCCTTTGCAACTTTTTAAGGTGTGTGGACTTCAACTCCCAGAATTCTCCAGCCAGGAGTTCTGGGAGTTGGAAGTCCACACAGCTTAAAAGTTGGCAAGGTTGAGAAATACTGGTAAGTTGTCCTTTATAAGAAGCAGTTCCTATTACAGAGAAATCAGTGTTCTTTATATGAAGCAGTTCCTATTATTACAGAGAAATCAAATGCTTGCTTACTTGCTGGGATCCTGTCTTAAAGTATTGGCCTGATATAGTGGGAAGGTAGTTTATTTTTCTGAAAGGGCAAACACATCTCCTCCTAGGACAGGCTTCATACAGCTTGGCCTGTTCAGGAAAGTTT